TTTTGTTCATGACATGTCATGAACAAATTACCAAAATGTGTTTTCTCCTCAGGTGTCAGTTTTTCCTCTTCCAGTGACTGATGGCTCCCAGTGTTATTACAGAAACAGATTGATCTTTTTAATGAGCCAGTTTAATAGACTCCAAAATCTCACCGTGGCTGCTCATCCATGTCAGACCATATGTACCAACAAAACATTCAGTAAAAAAAAAAATTTAAAAAAAGCTCTGCTGTCAGAAAGCTACACACTCTACAAAATTTCATATAGTAGAGCAGGATATACAGATAAGTAACCAGAAAGGAAGAAAATGCATATTCAAGCCAGATACAGGTAATATATGCAAAAATATACTCCAGAGACCCATATTTTCTTGGTTCTGATCAACTTTGCACAGATACAAATGTATTTACACAGCATACTCTCATTCTCCTTCCTCCTAACTCTAAGGAAATCTATTTGCCATCTTTCCATCTTAGAAGACACATTAGGCTGAAAAACAATGTTCCATTCAAAGAGCAACCACAGAAATTCTGATTATAGCTACTGGCCCTGAATAATCAAAGACAGAATAAGATGGAACACTCCTTTCTAGAGCACTCAGACCAGCACATACGCACACAGGTACCGATCAGAACAAGAGTGCTGAGCACCTGTGACTTATAATATGAATCTTTCACATCAGTGTCCATGATGTGAATAAAGTGTACCTCAAAATTGACCCAGAAAAGGCTCAAGTCATGCTACATTCAAATGAAGAATAGTAGGAAAGAGCTGATGAGAAAGGGCCAGAAAGACAGAGGAAAATAAAGCAAGTTTTCATATTCCCTGATAGGGTTATTTAGCAGTTATGAATTGTAGCTTAGGTCCTGTCCATTTTCAGTTCTGTCTGAAGGATTATCTTGACATTGATGGTAGCTACCTAAACTGCCCCTCGTTAAATCTTCCCCACAAATAAATCCTCTTCTCGGTTACCTCTTCCTAGAAACATGGACTATTTCAGTACCTACACACAATGCTCATTTCCTGCAACAGTAACGGGCTTGGATTGGAAAGGAATACACATGTAAGTCCCCTACCCTTGAGTCACACCTTGGTTCACACTGCGGTGTAGTCACGCCATTCAGAGGCTTAGATTAAACAGCTTCCTTTAAAAGCTAACATGCTGAAGGCTCAGATAGTTACTCTTCAACTTGACAAAGAAAATAGAATTTGCAAGAATAAGAAAGGAATGCTATCAACTGCCTACACATCTACAGCTAGGGCTGGGGCTTCCTGCCCCCCTCTCCCTTCATCCATGGGAGGGCCCTGTCTGTTGGATTTGCTCAGTTCTTGGGCATGTTGTTATAAATGCTGTGGGTTCATATGTGCAACCACCCTGGTGTCCTGACAACAGTTTCACTGTATTCATCTACCACCTCTGGCTCTTACAAATTTTCTGCCCCTCCTCTTCCACAATGATCCCTGAGCCTTGGGAGGAGAGGGTGTGATATGTATTGGCCACTGAGAGATGCTGGGAGAGGGAAAGTCAGTTTTCCTTACTGATATGATTCCTGGTAGGTTGCCCAGACTCCAAGAGATAGACCCACACCCAAGAATGCTAGAGAAACAACAGATTAGATTGGGTAGGCCTTTAAAAAAGACAAATGATAACAGAGGGCATGAAACTGGGGTCGGGGGTGGGTAAGCTGAGGGTAGAGGAGGGAGAGGGCATCTGAATAGGATCAAAACACATTGTATGAAATTCTCAAATGAATCATAAAACATGTTTTTAAGGAATGCTAGCTGGGCATGGTGGTGCATGACCTTAAACCAACCACTCACGAGGCCTCTGAGACCTGGAGCTCAGCCTGGTCTACATAGTGAATTCCAGGTCAGCCAGAGCTATATACTGAGACCCTGTCTCAAAAAATCAATCAATAAATAAATGAAAAAGAAAGAGAGAGGGAGGGAGGCAGGGAGGGAAGAAGGGTGCTGCTGGAACGTCCAATAAAAAGACAGATCCGGCCGGGCGTGGTGGCGTACGCCTTTAGTCCCAGCACTCGCGAGGCAGAGGCAGGCGGATCTCTGTGAGTTCAAGGCTAGCCTGGTCTCCATAGTGAGTTCCAGGCCAGCTGGAGCTACAGACCCTGTCTCAAGAAGACAAAAAAAAAAAAGAAGATCCACAAAACTAATCTAACTTTTTTTGTTTTCAGAGTTTAAACTATTACAGTTCCCAGGGAGGGAACTGATGACTGTTGCTTTGGTAACAGGACATGGTGTCAAACTGTCTTTCAAATGTTTATGCTTCTACCCATAGATTAATGCTCTCTTCCACCTTGGTTGGAGAAGCTTCTTTTTGTAGTGGGCAATAGTTAATGCAAAGTTTCACAATTGGTCAAAGTGCTGAGAACAAGTGAATGCTGACTGCTCAGCCCTAACCACTGCATCGATATCAGCACTTCCAAGGCTCAAGAACATGGGGAAAGGAGGGTGGGAGAATGTAAGAGTGTGAAAAAGGAAAGCATTGCTGTGAAATGCTGTCTTCTAGACACAGCATGGCTGTTGCACACATGAACTCATAGTAGCAGGGGTTACCTGAGCAAGACCTGCACAAGACTGGGTCTAGCAACATTCTATCATGGATGGGGAAGGGGCTCATGAGGCCCCACCCCTCCCAGAGTAAATACACAGGAACTTAGTGGTTGTGGGAGTCATACTCTGCAATGGCGTAACCACTGGAAACATGGTTAACCCCCACTCCACTCATGCTCAAGCAGCCGTAATTAAATGCAGTGGGCCACGAAAGAGAAGACAATACATAAAAATAGGAAGGAGACTTACTGGAAAGAAGGGGTTTGATGGGATGGGGAAAGGGATAAAAGAGAATAATGGGGAGGTATGGAGAAAGGATGAGAGAGAAAGAGAGAGAGAGAAAGAGAATAAATTTTGAAAGGAAAAACGATTTAAGTCCTACATAGAGTGGTGAGTAATGCCAATAATCCCAGCATGTGGAGACTGAAACAGGAAGATTATCCTGAGTTCAAATCTAATCTGGATTAAAAAGTGAGATCCTGCTTCAAGAGGAAGAACAGCCGTCATGGTGGCGCACGCCTTCAATCCCAGCACTTGGGAGGCAGAGGCAGGTGGATCTCTGTGAGATGGAGGCCAACCTGGTCTTACATAGTGAGTTCCAGGGCAGCTGGGGCTACAGCGAGACCCTGTCTCAAAAAGAACTCTCCTCACCAAGAAAAAAGAGGAAGAAAAGGAGAGAGCAGAATGTAGGGGGAGAAGTCTTATGTCAAAAGGAGAAAAATTTCAGAGGTCGCAGAATAAAAACTGCTTATGAGAGGATAGACAATAGCTACGCAGAAACTGGCCTGCTTATAATAATGTTCTGACGTGCAGACCCAGTTACACATCTAAGCGTAGCTCATTAGGTCACAGACAGTGGTCTCTGAGTTCCCATGAATGTGGACTATATGCCAGAGGACTGACCTCTCACAGGCTGTTTGAAATGCAGAGAAAGAAAACAGATCAAGAGAGAAAGAAAACAAAGACAAGTTAAGTTCTAGAAAACAGTTTCTTTGAAGACTTCATATTTTATACACACTATGCAAAATGCTGCTAAGACTTCCTGTTCCTCACACTGAGGAGATGGCTTGGCAGTAGAGAGCACTGACTGCTCTTGCAGAGGACCTGGGTTCAAATCCCAGCACCACATGGTGGCTAACAACCATCCACAATTCCAGTTCCAGAGGATCCAACACCCTCTTCTGACCTCTGCAGGCATTGCACTGCATGGGTGCACCTACCTGCATGCAAGCAATACACCCGTACACGTTAAAAAAAAAAAAAAAA